AGAATTCATGTAATTAGAGGTCATTCCTATAGCGCTGGCAATGCTATGATTAGATCACATGATGTGTTGTTATGTTTCACACCATTTGTTACGTGAAGTGATTCAACGAAACACTACTTTTGCTGAATCTTACAAATTATAAGTTCAAATTGGGTGACAATGGGATCAGTTCACTCCAAGAGTGTATCCAAGAGTGCATCGGCGTCTGTGGGCTCATTTGGACGAGCTGGATCATTCTTGGAGTACGACAGAGTCATACACCACTTGAGTCGCGGGGATCTGATAGAAGTCTTGAGGGGTCGGTACAGGCATTGGGCGATCTTCGAGTCGGTCGACCACTACGGGAATGTCATGTGTTTCCACATCACGGCTGTTGATAATGGATATGCCGATGACATGGACACTGACCTCACGAGGACTGGTGTCCGCAAAGAGATTTCATTCAATGGCAAAGCGCTGCTTAAATACGAGCCGTTGGAGGATATCCTCAAAGACACGGATAGTCCGCAGCCATCGCTCTGTCGGATCAATAACCAGGAGATCATGGCTTCCAAGATGTTGAAGACTATTGGCAATCAGTTGCCAGACTTGGATCAAGTGTTTACAACTCTTCACCAAATGAAAGACACCATTTTCAGATACTGTCTAAAAGTATGTTAAATAAGATTTGTCTGCAATTTGTAATACAATTGAATGATTGGATCTAATATTTGATGAATTGGTGTTACAGTCACTGAACTGCGAGCACTACTCCACGTTCTGGAAGTATGGCATCGGGTGGTCATCACAGGTGAACACCTTTAAGGATATAATCACCGCAGTCCTCAAGACTGTGTCCACTTTGAGCGATACGACCGGCCGTTACTTACAGAACAACGGGTGCTATAAAATGGGTTTCGTTTGTCTCCTAATATCAGTCATCTCTTCAATGGCTGCTAAAGTGGTCGAAGAAATTGATTTGACGCTTAAGAACCTTAGACTCGATTCAGCAAAAGTAGTGTTTCGTTGAATCACTTCACGTAACAAATGGTGTGAAACATAACAACACATCATGTGATCTAATCATAGCATTGCCAGCGCTATAGGAATGACCTCTAATTACATGAATTCTATGGTTAATAAAACTAATCCTGGTCTAATGAACGACCCGCTAATTGTTGTAATCATGTTAAAAGGGTTAATAATTTTTTATTAAAAATTAGTCAATAAATTGTAGCAATTTTATATAAATGAAATATGAGTGCTAATCTGTAAACCCTAGTTATAATGTAGGTGTATATCAATAATCATCGATATAAGTCCAACAAAGTGTAGAAACTTCCTAATAGTGAGACATTTCAAGTGCTATGAAATCTAATTTTAATGCAATTTATTTATATTATACTGTATAATATTATGCGTATAAACAACTTTATAATAAATTTAACATATTAATAGTCCTTGAATAAATTCAACTTATATTCATTGAATTCAATATAATCTAAAAACATATACTGTTATAACATTTTTAGGGAATATTCTGTCAGAATTTCAATTCTATACTTTTATTTGTTTTATTAAACAAACATTATTTCACAACTTAATTTAAATTTAAAATAAAACATGAGACATAAGTTGATTAAAATTATCTTTTTATTTATTATTCATAATGAAAACATATTTTGTTTAGAATACCCTGTTTTGCATAGAATTTGCAATAAAAACATTCAATTGATAGCAAAATATATTAAATTTAACAGTTCTTTAACTCTATAAATATAAAATATATCACTATTAAAATGAAAACATAATTAATTTTTATAATAAAATATAAGTTCTAAAATTTATGAACAAATAACCAACTATTTAAATATAATGTATTCTAAACAAAAATAATCTTTATAAAAACTCTATAAATGAATACTAAAGCTAAATATCGGATAGAAATGTATTCACAACTAATTTCATATAATTTGTGGTATAAAAGCGAACAATTAGTACACTATATGGAAGATTTTAATATTAACCTAATTATCTGTAATAGAAAATTACTGTATAGTAATATTAGGGTAATATAAAAATCTAACAATTTATAAAAACATATGTATAAAAGTATAAACTAATGCAATATTCAATTATAACTTCGGTTTAATGGACGCGACGTTAGGCTTATTGTAGACAAACTCCTGCCACCAGTCGGCCCGGGATGTAGCGCCGGGAGCCGCCAGAATGGACTCGTATATATTCTTATAGATCTGTCCGTCAGACTTGCCTAACGCCGAGTTGAGCAGGAAGTCTGTCGGCGCGATCGCGTCTACGAGAGTGACGGAGTCGTCCTTCAATTGAGCGCACAGTTTAAGTATGGATTGACGGATGTATTGGGTGGGCGTCGGACCCGAACAGTAACCGCCTTCGTATAGAGTCGACAAATGCTTCTCCAGAGACCACAAGCCGTATAGCGAACCCAAACGCTTCAATACGTTGGCCAACGACTGGTCAGTCATCTCGACCTGAATGAAAGTGTTCCAGCGGTCGAGCACCACGTGTTCAATGAAGGCCAGGGATAGGGATCGGCAGCAGTAGACCTGAGAATTGGTTCGCGCGCTGAACAGGTCTTTCCCGGCGTCTAATTCTCGCTTCAGTTTATTGACAGCACTTCTCATTAGGTAACTGACGAGGAATTTGTATGCGTCCAGAATCACATCCATTCGCATGACATCGTCCGGAGCCGACACATGCATTCTCTTCTTCAGGTGAGCGTCCATTTGGTCCAAGAAGTCGACGGAACCGAACTGCGAAGTGAATGGTCGGCCCTCATCCACCTTCAGTTGCCACAAACGCATCAAATAATTACTGGTTTGCATTTGAAGCACATTATTGTCGCCCTCATAGGTGTTGTTGGCGTCGTGATCGTCCCGGAGCTCTCCCAATCCCGATGCCTTCAGATAGCCGTGACCTCCACACGCCTCCCGACACTCTTGTATCGCATCCCTACATATCCAACCGGACAGCGGCTTAGCAGCGCTGGACAGGGCGTGAATCTCCTGTCCCTGTTCTGACAGCTCGGGAGATGTCGTACCAAAGAGTACAGATATCTGGAAGTTCATGAAATCTCTGTGGAAAGACATACTGAAGTTGTCCAACACATAACAGGCCGCCAAATATGGCAATAGTCTCCACTGTTGCATCTGATACTCAATGACCGGTAGCTCATCCTGACCGGGAGGACCAAATTGTCTGCGAGCGGCTGAGTATCTAATAGCGATGGGAAGAGCCTTTTGCATGTTAGTGATGGCCATCCCTATGATGCCCACTCGACCCATAGATAATGTGCCTAAAGTGACACCCATTCGCTTCTTATTATCTTTGATTTCTGTGACATAAGTGCCGTCTTTGTCCACATCTCCGATTCGGTTCATCAATAAGTCTTTGGGAACCCTATAGTCCTTAAACTGGAGAAACCCGTTGTCTAATCCGTTGAGACCTATTTTGGGTCCCATATCGCCGACAGTAATGCCCGGATAAGGTAACAGAGTCTTCGGGTCACGAATGGGGGCAATGAATGCACTCAATCCGTGACACTTGTTGTTAACGTGCAACTGGACAAAGACGACCGCATGAGTGGCTGTTTTGCCCAAATTTCCGGACCACACCTTCGAGGCCTCGAAGTTGGGAGTGTTTAGTATGAACTCATTGGTCTGGGGGTCGAAGTCGGCGCGAGTGGCCATCGCCTTCGTGTTGGATCCGTGAGCCATCTCTGTCAACGCGAAACAGCCCAACGCCTCGAAGTCCATCAACTGATCCAAGACTGATAGGTGACGACTAGAACCGGCCCCTCGAAGACTCACTGTCACGAACTCGTACGCCAAGAACTTCTTGGCCGATAGGGACCAGTCGTACTGACCCAACGTGTTGTACATGTGTTGTGTGAGCAAAGGGTTGGCCATAAACTCTTCGTCGGGCAGGAAGTCATACTCCATGAGCCGTTTCAGGCGCTTAAGTGTGATCTCCCGGTGCTGGTCGCGTGTCATCTCTTGGGACGGGTGGTGAGCGAACAACGGGTCCTTCTCCAGAGTGCGAGCGATCCGTAGCTTAAATCGGATGATGTCTTCGCCCTCCAGAAGAAGTTTCATTTTCCTCCAGTCAAACGACGCCCGCTTTCGGTACACATCCAGAGGACCGGATGGCCAGTCGGGCAGCAGGTGTTTGATCTCATCGGTCACCACAATCTCAGTCGACTCGCTGGAAGTGCTTTGCATTCTTCGAGGTAGCAATTTGTGAGACAAACCAAAAGTTAGAGACAATTACTGCAAAACCAATGTTTTTATTATTGGGTTTACAATCAGATTTCAATGAATATTATTGATTTGATTATTGCTTAACACTTATAATGATATGAAATATGAACGATATGTTATATCAAACAAAATTCAATCATTTAAATGTCCATAATTAGTATGGGTTCAGAATTGAGAGTATAGTTTAGGTGCATTAACATGATCATTTAAATGCTAGTATCAAAGTAGACATACATTGCACTGCTATTCACGTACTGTTGCTTCCCTTCGCAAGCGATTTGTTTGACTCAATGAGACGTTTCACTCACTGTTTGCTTCAATTTGTAGAGACTTTTGTACTCGAAATCCAAACTTTTATCGATAAATGAAGTCTTGAACCAAATAAATATAAATATCAATATTTTTCTCTAAACAACTCAAACAATCAGCTCTATTATGGAGAATATATGAGATAAATAACTAATTTTTATGAATTAACCAAAAATCACTTTAAACCACTCAATACTAAACTCCGAAATAGCACTCAAATACCAGAAACTTTGAATACAACAAAATTCATGTAATTGTGTCAATCGGACCACTATTTTCCAGAACTACACTCCAAATAGCTTTAAGTGAGAAAAAACTTTTTTGGATTTCGGTTTCAATAGTGATTTAATGGGGAAAATAATGCACTATTTTCTTGTATACTATGTTTAGACCATTTGAGAGTTTATTTTGAGTACAATTTGTTTCACGACTACATAGTTATGTTGGATTTGATTTATATAAACCGGGAAATTGGGAATTATTTGTTGTGAAACTCGTTTTACGGCTTTTTGAGTCAAAAACATTTCATTCAAAAGAGTGGAGATTTTCGCCAAAGTTCTCAGACCTCTCTATCATATCTCTCTCTCTCTCTCTCTCTCTCTCTCAATATGTTTTATATCTTTCCATTAGTTGTTTTGATTTTATTGAAAATTTTTTCTTAATAACCAGTTTATTACAGACTATAAAAATTGATAAATAAATAATTACGATACAATTTTATTTGTTTAATATTAGGCCGTTACTTACAGAACAACGGGTGCTATAAAATGGGTTTCGTTTGTCTCCTAATATCAGTCATCTCTTCAATGGCTGCTAAAGTGGTCGAAGAAATTGATTTGACGCTTAAGAACCTTAGACTCGAGGAAGTCATCAAACATGCCATCGCTTATTGATCTATTGATTATTGATTCAGTTTTTTATTCTAAAGGTTTTTATTATAAAATTTCATAAAATAAGGAATTCCTTGCAAAAGTGATAGATTTGACTACACTATAACAATCAAAAGGTTTTTAGTTCATACGGTAAGACTATGTGACTTCTAGACTCAGATACACTAAGATGACATATAATAAAATAGCTATATATTAAACCTTTGTTAAAATAAAATAACTACATATGAAATTTAATGAAGATAATCTTAACACAAATACCCAAAAATAAAAAATCTTATGGTATTTTATTTAAACTGTTAATTTACAATTACCGTATTTTGTTCTAGTCTAGTTTGACTACATAATGGGCGACAATATATTATTATAGACTAAATTGAGATCAAAAATTTTGAAGACTTTCTAATATTGTATAATATTTCCAAAATCCAAAGAACTGACCAAAAAAGAAACACTAAATTTAATTGTATGCCTAAATAATGAACTACCGGTAGTAATCTCAAGTTACACTAAACTTTTAGTTTAGTTTATAGTGTATTTTATTCAATTGTATTATAATTATAAACGTACTATATTATTGATTTTATTTGCATTTCTGAAAATAATGATTAAATAGTGTTTAAAATAATGATTAAATAATGATTAACCACTAATTTGTCTAATTGTTGATTGCATTGAGAGTGAGAGTTGAGATGATTGGTGGCCAATAGCCAGCATTATTTACGGCACTAGGAAATCAAAACTCACCTCACACATTTTACAATAGACTTCATATAACGATACTTAATAAAATGTGATTAACGAGAAGTTCGGGCACCGGGAGGTCAGTAATCATCGAGACTTTCAATTTGAAAATGATTTGTTTGACCGAAAGTGTGAACGTAATTGATGTGCAAAGTGGTGACAAAACCGATGCCTTGTTTTGAATGATTTGCAAGTTTTGAGTGATTTTTGTGAAACTAATCCAACATTTGGTTCATCTGATTATCACTTGAATTATAAACGATGGCTTTGTTTGATGCAAAGTGGTGACAAAACCGATGCCTTGTTTTGAATGATTTGCAAGTTTTGAGTGATTTTTGTGAAACTAATCCAACATTTGGTTCATCTGATTATCACTTGAATTATAAACGATGGCTTTGTTTGATGCGGAGGACCGGTTCCATAAGACACGACACGAGTCGTTGGCACCCAATCCCACACTCGGCTCACACTTGGACGCAATGGTTCCCAATTGGATGCGCGAAGAAGTCTCCACAGGAGTAATGCATTCATTATCTGTTGTTTTGATTTGATTTTAATTGATTGTCTTGTTTTGGTTCTTGTGGTGCACTTCAACGATGACAACAGACATCTATAATGGCGGTTGAGTTCAACGGCGGTGTAGTGATAGGCGCCGACTCGCGCACAACCACCGGGTATTACATCTGATTTGATCACTCATTTGACTCTAATTTGTGTCCATTTTGTGTCCATTTTGTGTCCATTTTGTTGGTATCTTCAGCGCATACATCGCTAATCGAGTGACCGATAAGTTGACGCGAATTACGGATAATATCTATTGCTGTCGATCGGGATCTGCTGCCGACACTCAGGCCATCGCCGATATAGTGGCCTATCATTTGAACTTTTATGAGTATGTCTTGGAGTGATGTCTTTGTTTGTCTCAATTGACTCAATGGTGTGATTGTGTCCAGAATGGAGACGGGAGAGCCGGCCGGCGTGAGGGTCGGCGCCAACATATTCCGCGAGATGTGCTACAACTATAGGGACTCATTATCCGCCGGCATTATCTGCGCCGGTTGGGACAGGCGTGCGGGCGGACAGGTATGCCATGAATACACTAGTGGTTATTGGCTCTCATTTGGTGACATTGATTGCTTTGCCAACAGGTCTTCACAATACCATTGGGAGGAATGCTTGTGCGACAGCCCGTGGCTATTGGCGGGTCCGGCAGTAGTTATGTTTACGGTTACGTCGACTCGAACTACAAGCCCGGTATGAATGAGGAGCAGACCATTCAGTTCGTGACCAACAGTAAGACTCAGTTGTCTATTGTTTTAAGAAATCAATTTTAATGATCTTGTCTTCAATGAATAGCCCTATCGTTGGCTATCAGTCGCGACGGTTCCAGTGGTGGTGTCATACGAATCGGTATTATCACAAAGGATGGCATCAAACGCAAAGTGATTACCGGCGATGATATCCCCAAGTTTTTTGAAGGATGAAAGGCCTGTCACCACTAAATTCAGCAGTTTTTTAATTTTTATTTAATTAAAATTGGATTCAGCTTTCGATTTATTAATATTCAATAAAATAAAATTTTCATAAAAACAGTGAATAGCAAAGAGCTTCTTAAGCTGCGAGTGTTGTATCAAATATGAACCGTTGATATCAAATACTTTGTAATAGAGTACGAGTAAAAAGAGGTCGATTTCACCGGAATATTCCTCCAATCAATACAAAGCAATTAATTTGTTTGATAATTGTATCAACTGAATAGCTAACGTGTTTAAAAAAGTGTTGACTCATCAGAAAAGTGTTTAAAACTTTATTATAATTAAGTTGATAGCCTGCCCTCCCTTTTGGACACCTCTGTCCTCTGTTGTTATCATTTTGTTTATTTCAGTCTTGATTTACTCCGAAGAACGGAAATCCCATTTCCCTTTCCCTTCGATCCCATTCTCTAAATGCACTCTAATTTAGTCGTCTCTTCCGTTCAGTCGCTTGTTTTGCGATTGTTTTGAACGCAAACACAATGTTTGCAAAAATTAAGTGTTAATTAATTCACAACAACTACTGGTAGTCATGTGTCCGGCGTCCAGAACTGCTCCCAATTACGACGTCTGGTCTACTGTTGAGCCCACGATTGATGTCGATGTCCTCATGCCTAACGGAACCCTAATTACCGTTAATGTAATGAAAGAAATTACTTTTTCAGAGATCAAAGAGGTTTGAATGTATTTTTTTGTGTTCCCTATTACTATATATAGTATGAATTTATTTCATTAAAAAACAATTTATTTTCCTTTTACTGTTATATTTGCTATAAGTTTAATTAATTATCACATTCTCTACGNGTGACCGATAAGTTGACGCGAATTACGGATAATATCTATTGCTGTCGATCGGGATCTGCTGCCGACACTCAGGCCATCGCCGATATAGTGGCCTATCATTTGAACTTTTATGAGTATGTCTTGGAGTGATGTCTTTGTTTGTCTCAATTGACTCAATGGTGTGATTGTGTCCAGAATGGAGACGGGAGAGCCGGCCGGCGTGAGGGTCGGCGCCAACATATTCCGCGAGATGTGCTACAACTATAGGGACTCATTATCCGCCGGCATTATCTGCGCCGGTTGGGACAGGCGTGCGGGCGGACAGGTATGCCATGAATACACTAGTGGTTATTGGCTCTCATTTGGTGACATTGATTGCTTTGCCAACAGGTCTTCACAATACCATTGGGAGGAATGCTTGTGCGACAGCCCGTGGCTATTGGCGGGTCCGGCAGTAGTTATGTTTACGGTTACGTCGACTCGAACTACAAGCCCGGTATGAATGAGGAGCAGACCATTCAGTTCGTGACCAACAGTAAGACTCAGTTGTCTATTGTTTTAAGAAATCAATTTTAATGATCTTGTCTTCAATGAATAGCCCTATCGTTGGCTATCAGTCGCGACGGTTCCAGTGGTGGTGTCATACGAATCGGTATTATCACAAAGGATGGCATCAAACGCAAAGTGATTACCGGCGATGATATCCCCAAGTTTTTTGAAGGATGAAAGGCCTGTCACCACTAAATTCAGCAGTTTTTTAATTTTTATTTAATTAAAATTGGATTCAGCTTTCGATTTATTAATATTCAATAAAATAAAATTTTCATAAAAACAGTGAATAGCAAAGAGCTTCTTAAGGGCTGCGAGTGTTGTCTCAAATATGAACCGTTGATATCAAATACTTTGTAATACAGTACGAGTAAAAAGAGGTCCATTTCACCGGAATATTCCTCCAATCAATACAAAGCATTTAATTTGTTTGATAATTGTATCAAATGAATAGCTAACAAGTATCAGAAAAGTGTTTAAAACTTTGTTATAATTAATTTGATAGCCTGCCCTCCCTTTTGGACACCTCTGTCTTCTGTTGTTATCATTTTGTTTATTTCAGTCTTGATTTACTCCGAAGAACGGAAATCCCATTTCCCTTTCCCTTCGATCCCATTCTCTAAATGCACTCTAATTTAGTCGTCTCTTCCGTTCAGTCGCTTGTTTTGCGATTGTTTTGAACGCAAACACAATGTTTGCAATAATTAAGTGTTAATTAATTCACAACAACTACTGGTAGTCATGTGTCCGGCGTCCAGAACTGCTCCCAATTACGACGTCTGGTCTACTGTTGAGCCCACGATTGATGTCGATGTCCTCATGCCTAACGGAACCCTAATTACCGTTAATGTAATGAAAGAAATTACTTTTTCAGAGATCAAAGAGGTTTGAATGTATTTTTTTGTGTTCCCTATTACTATATATAGTATGAATTTATTTCATTAAAAAACAATTTATTTTCCTTTTACTGTTATATTTGCTATAAGTTTAATTAATTATCACATTCTCTACGAAATAAATAAAAATAAAAAACTTGAAAATAAAATGCAAACCAATAGATACTATTCGAAGAGGAGTGTCAGAAAGAGCCTCTATTTGGTGCCCTTCACGACAAACAGACTTATGTCTTCACTTATGTCAATATGAGTACATCTGGACAGCAAGAACTGGATGACGAAGACGTTCGTCTGTGTGATGTCTGTCCATTTCTGGCAATCCTAAGGCTGGTCGAGAGGAAGGGCGATAAGGCGGCTCTTCAATTAGACGCACAAATCGGGTTACTTATTGGCAAAAGTAGTTACATTTGAAGGAAAACTTTAGAAAAAGTTTTACAGAAAACATTATTTGCATTATAAATTAGGTTTGAAAGAATTTGATTCACTTAAGAACCCAGAAGTGAATGATTTTAGATTCAAAATGAGGACCTATGCCGAGGATGTGACCCAACAAAGGGAGCAAAAGACTTGGATTGAGAAAATGATTTATCAGTACCCGATTGGCATTGATTTCAGTCGAGAACTACCTAAATATCTGAAGGAAAGACTTACTAAATGTCCCGATATTCCTATCAAATTACGGTTTGAGAACTCTTCGGTATTAACAGAATTTTATTCTGGGATAACAATTGATAAAATAATTTTCAATAACTTTATAGTTATGTCTTGAGTTGTCTGTAAAATATGATTTAAAAGCGGAAGAAATAATAGAGATTGGGTTCGACACAGACTCAGAAGCTTATGCCTCTGCCAGCGCTTACTTACTTAAAATTAATGGTCGACTCGAATATCTGTTAGGAGACTATCAATTGATTCAATACAAGGTATTAAAAGTCAAAAGTTTTATATGATATTTCAAAACATTACAATTCTTTATACCGTAATAAAAGTCAATTAGAGAAATGATAGTAAACGATGAAATGCCTTATTTGGTGGCAGTCCTTAGATCTAGTATTGAATGTAAGTCTCTAATGAATGTTTAAAATGTTTAATTAATGCAATTTATGTTTTGCAAATGGGATCAGTCGATGAAGAGCCCATATATTCAATCCCAGACTTACCAAGAGTTAGGTCGCCTTCTGTCGTGTCGATGTCTGGAACCACTAGAAGAAGGAATCAAGTGATCAGTTCGTGGACTATCGAAAGAAAACTTGTGATTCATATAAAAAGTGCCCAGCGTATTTTTAATTTAGACAATACAAAAGTTGTGATAATGTGCGGTCTATTCCACGGCGGGGAACCGCTATGTGATTATCAGATGTCTTCGGCCATAATACCCAATGAATTGGGAGATGGCGTTTGGGAGGAAGACATCTTCTTAGATATTAAAATCTGTGATATCACACGAATGGCAAGACTATGCTTCTCAGTAGTGGCCATCGGAAGCACATCCAAGAAAGCCAAGTCTAAGCAGACGCCCATCTCGTGGGCCAACACTACTATATTTGACTTCAAGAATATTCTGAAAGTCGGTTCAATCACTCTCTCGATGTGGAACTTCGAGAATGTGGTCGAAGACACAGAATTAGAACTGTTTAATTCGTTGGGAACAGTGGTGTCCAACCCGTCCGTAGAACAGGCGACGTGTCTGACGATTACATTCAATAAATACTCTGAAGGCGAGACACAAATCGCTTTCCCGACGATGAGTGAAATCCTGAAGGAGACGGCACTCAACAGAACCATCGCTGACGGCATCGAAGAGAGCGAAACCGAGGATGAGATGACTCCCTCTCGAAACACAAACACAAGACACGCGAGCAAACAGTTTGTCGAACAGATCAAAGAGATTTGTGACAGAGATTTGTTGCATAAGATTACGGATCAGGAAAGGGAGCTCTTGTGGTTCTTGAGGGAGGACTGTCGCAGTCTATTACCACATTCGTTGAACAAGTTATTGATTTCTCTCAAATGGAATAATCATAAAACAGTGGCACAAGTGTTGAGCTTTCTTCAGGAGTGGCCGAAACTGGTGCCCGAAAAGGCACTCGAGTTACTCGACTACGCCTACGCTGACTGTTGGGTCCGAAAGTTTGCCATCGAGTGCTTGAAAGGTATTGTTTTATAAAGTTTTCATATGAATAAGCCGTCAATTCTTTTCTAACACACGAAAAGGCATAACGGATGAAGAATTGTCATTATATTTGCTGCAATTGGTTCAGGCACTCAAATACGAGTCTTACATGTACTGTGATTTAGTCCATTTCCTGTTGGAGAGGGCCTATAATAACCAACGAATCGGTCACTCGTTGTTTTGGTTACTTAGGAGTGAAATGCATGTCCCGGCGGTTTCCGTCGCTTTTGGACTCATTCTTGAAGGTCTGAATCATGGACAATAAATTGTTTTTAAATAGAAATTTATTAATTCATTAAAAATTACAAAATTATTACAATATTCTTGAAATATTCTTCCATGTGAACACAGCCTACTGTAGGGGTGCTATGGATCACATGCAGATACTGGTGCGACAAATGGAGGCATTGAATAAACTGAAACGAGTCAATGAAATCATTAGAGACGATAAGAGCAAAGAGAATCGCGAGAAGAGAATCAGTTTAATGCAAGGCATCATCGGTCAGAAGTACTACGAGGAGGCGCTCCTCCATATCGTCAACCCCCTAAACCCGGTCTACAAACTGGGCTCTATTCGCATCAATAAATGCAAATTCATGGACTCAAAGATGAAACCTCTTTGGCTGGTCTTCAAGAATGAAGACGAAGACGCGTCCGACACTTATCTCATATTCAAGAACGGAGACGGTCTGCCATTTGTCTCATTTGATCCCTATTTACAGATTATATTAAAAAAGTTTTTTATTCAAATAATAATTTTTATTAAGCCATTAAAAAAGCTATGATTTATAGTGTTGTGTAGAATACTATTACAGCAAAAACATAAGCTTAACTAAAATCTGATAAAAGTTGGGATAAAATTACATAAAACAGAGCAAAATATTCAAATAATTTATTACTGTTTATCTAATTTTTTAATCGGTTTATGAGATTTATTGATAAGAATTTATATTTTATTCTTAATGTCAGACTTGAGACAAGACATGTTGACTCTGCAGATGATTAGGATTATGGATAAGTTATGGAAAGACGAGGGACTGGACTTTCGTATGAATCCCTACCGATGCATATCAACCGACCATAACGTGGGTCTCATTGAAGTCGTGTTAAACGCCGACACAATAGCGAACATACAGAAAGAGAAGGCCGTCTCAGCCATCGCCGCCTTTAAGAAGGAATCCCTTCTGTCGTGGCTTAAGGAACACAACCCCACAGAAGACAGTATTAATAAATCCATTGAGGAATTCACGCTCAGTTGTGCCGGATATTGTGTGGCCACCTATATATTAGGTGTGGCCGACCGGCACAACGACAACATTATGGTGACTAGAAATGGACAGTTGTTTCACATAGACTTCGGCCATATTTTGGGCAAATTTAAGGAGAAGTTCGGTATCCGTCGCGAGAGAGTGCCCTT